GGGGGGGAGTGAAGTAAGGGGCAAAAAGGGGAAAGGAGGGAAAAGAAGAGGGGGGAATTAACGGAGGGGGGAAGGGCGTGGCATATGTACATAAACGCTCACGCGTGTGGCCGCCCACACTTACCTGCGCCGTCATTTGGAAGGAGCCGTCCCCGATACACGCCACCACCCGCCGCTCCGGATTCGTCTGCTTCTCCGCGCAGCTATAACCCAGTACGGCACCCACGGACCAGCCGATGGAGCCGTACCGCATCTGAAGCTCGTACCTTGTTCATGACCATGAGGGAGAGGGGGTGAGGGAAAGGATGAACGAGATAGATCATGATGTCTTTTTTTTATTAAAATGTTAATGAACCGATTAGCAGCTTGTGGTGTTGTGGAGTTACTTCCAACTAGAAGACAAGGACTCACCTGATCGACACTCAGAGCACATGCGGTTTTTTTTTGCCAGAGCTCGTAACTAGGAAAAAAATAGTAATATACAATTTTGTGTGGGTGTCGGGGCACCGCCCGTATATAGTTCCAATAATTGTTAAGAAGATGCGAAAGGTAAAGGGCACCTGCAGTTGTCCGTACAGCCATGTACTTCTACCAAGGGGAGACAGGTCTTGTACTGGGGACGGATCTATATAGATATAAGGGGCGCGATGGTCACCAGAATCTATTTAGGGTGGCTGGGTTGGCCGGGGTAGTTTATCCGCTACCGGTATTTGGTCCTGTGTGTGTTAAGGTGTGGTGGTTGTGATGGTCCTGTGTGGGATGTCCTTGCATCACATACAGACTTACTCTGCCCCGGGCGGCAGCTTGAGCTTCAGTGTATTGAACCAGGAGTCGCCGACCTCGGAAATCAGAGAGGTGGTGGGCGTGAGCATGTGCTGCCGGGACCAGGGGGGGCGGGGGGGTGGAGGGGAAAGCAGAGGAAGCGGGGAGGGGGCAGGGGAAGATGCTGGGAAGAGTGTGTGTGTTTCGAGAGTGCGTGTGTCGGATGGGGTGGAAAAGCCCATGCAAGTTCTGCGGGTGACGGCTGGTCGAGTCCAGCAGGCGAGAGAGCGAGAGAGAGGACAGACAGGGCGACAACGTCCTCACTCGTGCAATTGCAACAATAAGGGCTATTGACTGTATGTATAATGGGCCCCCCCCCCCCGGCTTGTACGGATGGTCCCCGTACCTGAGTACGGACCTGGTAGCCCGTCCCCCGTGTAACTTATTTTTTAGAAAACACTTTAAAATAATACTACACTTCCCTAGCTTGCTCGAGTTCTTTTGACGAGGAGTACGCACACTGCGCGTGGTGGTTATCAAATGCTCGTCTTGCGTAAGGATGATTACTGGTCGTACATGTTGTACAGGTCGTACCTGGATGTGCTTGAACAGGACATTCGTTCGCAGCATCTCGCCCGGCTGCTGCGGCGGCGGCTCTGTGGTGGGCAACACCATGCGCTTGAAGATGACGTGGCCTGTTCAGGAAACACAGTCCAGTACCTTCAAATATATATATACTACAAAGTGTGTGCGACACAAACGTGCCAGACTCTTTAGATGCTGGGCAAATCACAAAAACAACCCCTAACCAACCCCTACGAACTCCCTAACAAACCCCCTAAGAAACCCCCAATAAACCCCAAACCAAACGAAACACTAATAACAAAGCGCGAATACTTATACAACGAAAAACGTGACAAGATATAAGTATTGGAAGCCATGTAAAATTCTGAATGAAAACCCGCCATATTCTAAAACCTTATTAAAACCCACCCGTGTCATTGGGTTTTACCCTCGCCGCCAGCGCCTCCAGGAAGTCCGCCATCACGATGCAGCCGAACGTGGGTCCGTGACCGATCGTGACGCGGTTGCCATCAACTCGGATCATCTGATGACGGCGCGACCGGGAGGGGGGGGTGAGGTGAGGTGAGGTGGGCGATAGAACCAAAGGGAAGGACAGGGGAGCGCCGGAAGATGGAGATTGGGAACCAAAAAGGGTTTTTCCCAAGATATCAGGAAATGAAGGAAAATGAAGCAGAAGGGAGGTTGAGGCGGAGGGAAATATCCGGGGTGTTAAGGGGGGGGGGCCCGAGAAGGCGGTGAGAATGTATTCCGGAGTTTTCTTGTCTATAGATACATTGGCCATGATTGCCATGATGTTGCAGAATGTTGATCTGTTGGTATGACCTCCACTGACCTCCCCTCCCACTGTTCCCTTCACACCTTATTTAGGCAACACCAAAAACGAAGCAACAGAGACACACACTACGCCGTAGGGTGGTAGGGAGGTAGGATGGTAGGGTGGTAGGGTGGTAGGGAGGTAGGGAGGTAGGGAGGTAGGGAGGTAGAAGAGGTAGGGAGGTAGGGAGGTAGGGAGTAAGGGAGGTAGGGATATTAATGTTCACCTTCTCCGGTTTTAGCAGCAGCGAGTAGCCCGTCGTGGAGTAGTCAGTCCATACTGCCGTTTTGCAAAACCCGTCGTACATGTCGGGCGGTTTGTTTGTGCACAAACAGCATGGGGGGGAAACAAAAGCAGTTAATGGAAGGGGTGGGGGGAGAGCGGAGGGGTGGGGAGGTGGTTAGTGTTTTACAGTTTGGGGGTTTTCAAGGCAACTTCCTGATTTCCCCGCGGACGCTCCTTGCATGCACTTCTTGCATCGGCATTGGTCCCAAATACACACACACATATAGTACACACAGACACATACACACACACATACACACATACACACACACAGACACACACACATACACACATACATACACACATACACACATACACACGACTCGTTGACCCACGGCTCCCGCCAAACCCCCATCCCCCTCTCCCACGCACCTCCACCCACACAAATTACGACATCCGAGCTCTCCACCACCTCGCACACGCAGGGGCTGCTCACGGGGCCCCAATACATGCCTATGAATCTGTAGGAGGGATGGGGTGACGCATGTGCACGGGAGAGCGGAAGGCAAGGAGGGGCGGGGAGGAAAAGGCGCGAAACAGGGAGATTGAGCGGAGGGGGAGGGGGAAAGGGGCGAGTGCCGGTGAGGTGCCGGGGCCGCGGGGTTTCCCCCCGGTTCAGTGTTGTTGTGTTGGTGTGAGTGGTGGAGAAACAGGCCCAAGGGAACGTGTGCGAACACTTTTTTTTGTGCATTCACACCGTTTTTTGACGTCATGGAGACGAGCTGTGATACGAAAATGGCGCCAATACGATATGCTGCCCCCCCCCCCCACACACACGCGCCTCGCTCTTCCCTGCAGTTCCCCCTTTCCCCCTCCCTCCCTCCTTTCCCCCCTCCCCTCCTTCCCCCCCTTTCCCTCCCCCCTTCCCCCCTCACTGTGGGTGGTCCTCCGGGAAGAAGCCCTTGGCGTCCGGCATGACCGCCACCGGGTACCTGGAGGAGTTGGCCAGGTCCAGCATGGCTTTACGAGTACGGGAGGGCCGGGTACGAACACCTGGGGGCCGGCGGGGCGACATGGGGGACAAAGTCCGGAGGCTTCGAGGGGAAGGAGGCGGGTTGTGGGTGGAGGGGGGGAAACCGGGAAATCAACAGTGTACGGAAGTGTACGTCAGCGTTGATCCGGGGTGTGCGAGTAGTGTAGTTGATGGGTTAGGAATCGGGGTTGGGTGGGAAGGCTGGAAGGAAACTAAAACTCAGCAACTAAACCCATCGTTCCAACCATTTCCCCCCTGTTAAACCCCGCGATGTAGTACGACGAATAATTTCTAAGGACTGAAGAATGGTGTGAGGGAGAGGATGAGGCCTTCAATCGTCTCATTGAAATGGTATCTTTATATGGCCCACATGCTGACAGACATGATGACAGACTGAAACGAGTCGTTTCTGTTAACAGTGCGACTCCTCGCACCTTGCAACAGCACCGGTTTCACCGCCCGACCCAACCACTCCAGGGACGCCTCCACCGCCGCCTCCAGGGAGGCCTGGTTGGTGTGCGACACCGCCAGCGCGTACGGCACCGGTGGACGAGCAAAGCTGGGGTGGGTTAGATCCGCCAGATTACCTGCCGACATGCCGTGAAGGCGGTGGCCCGGGGACAGTGGGCTTTCCAGGGGGGCCGGCGAGATGGTGGTGGTGGCCGTGTCTTCCTCAACGATGATGTGCTAATGATCAATTACAATATATGCACACAACAGCTCAAGGTTGGACGCTAGCCAGCTAGGTAGAAAACGTAATCAGGAAAGCGGTTTGAAAAATTGAGAAGGGAGAGTGAGGAGAGAGGGTGTGAGGAGAGAGGGTGTGTGTGTTTCACACCGGTCAGTCAAGGGTGCGTACTTCAGCACATCGCTCCATCACTATTATCATTATCATCGTCCGTCCTTTGGGCCCCTCAAGCCATTAACCACCAACCACTAACCAGCCACCAACTAACCACCAACCACCCAACCACCTGCAGGCAACTAAGAACATGTAGGCGGCGAATGGACGGCGCCGCCCACCACCACCCCGTCCTCCACCTCCCCCCCTCTTCCACTCCGCCCCCTCAGCAGCCAACACATCACCCCTCTCTACTTCCTCTTGCCCCCCTTCCCCCCTCCCCCATTGCTTCGCATTCCCCACCCAGATCACCCCCCACCTCGCAAAGCACAACACACATACATACAGATGCACATACACGCACGCACGCACACACACTCACAGGCCACCTCAATGTACACGGGCTTCCTCCGCAGCATGGCCTCGCTGATGGCCGTGTCCAGCAACATGTGCGCGTCCTCGATGTGCTGGATCACAACCTGAGGGGCGGTTACGAGGGGCGCGGGTTTCGTACGGACACGGGGACACGGGGGGTTGGGAGAGCTGCAGAATGGGAGGAATTCCCCCACAAACATACACACACACCACACACACACCGGGGTTTCCCCCTCTGCCAGAGCCTTCAGCAGCAGTCCCCAAACCCCTCTAACCCCCCTTTCATCCCCTCCCCCTCCCCCTCCCCCTCCCCCGGTACCTGGCAGCAGGTGCATTCCCTGAACGCCCTCAGCTGTTGACCGTATTCGTTCAGTCCCGTGGTGTGGTGCAGAATCCTGTTGGCCGCGTGGTCTTGCGAGTTGGGCCCCCCGGAGATGACGATGAGGGGCAGGTCCTCGGAATACGCACCCACCACGGCGTTGATGGCGCTGAAACCTGGGCGGCGGCGGCGAGGGGGCCCCGGAAGGGGTGGAGGGGGGGTGGAGGTGGAAGGGGGATAT